AAACAACCTTCTTCTGCAATCTCTTTGCTTTTTTCGGTTGTTTGCCTTTCTTAATCCACTCGTCTACCTTGTTTGTGGACACATCTGGTAGAGGTGGAAAATCTTCGCTGATTCTTCTCTTCTTCAAAGCGGAGGAAGAGGAGGAGTGTACGCTTTCGTGATCGCTGTCACGGAGAGAATTGTCACTTGCAGGCGGAGCATTAGCCACTCCCTGATTCCCGTCTGTCAGATTTTGACAGCCGGGCCCAGAGACTGGCAATGTATTGCCCTGCAAATCTGCCTGGTTTAGGCCGAAGCACGAGATCAATTGGCAAATGATGCTAATGATCTCGGTCTTGTCCCTCCCAGCCAGATTGCGAAGCAGTTCCTCCATACTGCTTGACATTTTACTCGCTTAAAACTGACAGTAAAGCTCTGAGCAGTTGAACGCAACGAAAAATGATATACATTGGCATTCCAAAAGACTATCTTCAAAGATCTAGGCAATGTCGGTTGTCTAGACATTGGCAGTTCCAGTCAGCACGTTATTATTCACCGTGAACATTTTTTCGAGCACGGGGAATTTGCAGAATAATTGCTTCATCTGCTCCAAAGCGGCACAGATGTCTGAAGCCCCTGGCTCGAAATTTAAAAGAATATGGTTCATTTAAAAAGCCTGTTTTATCTCGAAAAAAGGAATCTTCAGAAGAAGCCCAAAATAATGTTTTACAAGCAATGTTTTAGAAAGACTACGTTGATTGTGAAAAGAAGTCCATATCAAGTGTAAGGGTAATATCAAAATAAGACATAAAGTCCAGAACAATGGGTCGTATGAAGTAATTCAGTTATTCACCGTTATTGAGGTCACAATATTGATTGATAGTCATCCATCAATCCTTTATCTCTATGCGAACACCCTCTAAATAATACATTGTTACGGATAATGTCCTGTTAATCAGCCGGAAGGGCGAAAGGTATTAACAGGGGTTGATCATACAAGCGGTAATATGCTGTAGATACAATTCGGGAGAATAATTCATCAAATTACATCTACGGTTATGCATTCCATATGAAATGTTTGACGTATTATGAAACTGAGCAGTGAACAGGCGTTGGAGCTTAGACACGCCTGAAAAAGCTATTATACAGCGAATCACGTGTTTCGTTTTTGTAAAACGTCATGTGAGCTTTAATTTTTTTAAACTTTCATGATTCAAATGGTCAAGTCTCCTACGGTAATGGTTTCGCTTGCCAGGGTGTCTCTTCCAAACGTCTTGAGTTACATTTTATCATTCCAGTGTGGAAATACAAGCACTACTGTAAAATCCTCATGGCGTTCTAAGAGCAGTGCCTGGATTTGAATTGCTGGAGATTGAATGCATTTGGAAAAACGTCATCAGGTAGTTCATTCCACTCCAGCGCAGTTCTTCACATGCCAGAGTTCTTGAACAGCGAAGTTCGAGGTGTACTGAGTTGAACCTCAAAACAATGAGCAGCCACAGTTCGTCGCGTATCTCTGATATATACCGCTCTCGGTGGAATCAAATGTGCCAAGTCACTTTAACATTTTAACAGAAAGTGAAATTGTCTGACCTGACTTTATTATATCCAGTTCGGAGACATTTATCTTTTTGGAGAAAACCGATGCCTTGGTTTTTGTGGCATTGAATTCAACCTGATCACTTTCACCCAAACTCGAAATCCTTCTAAATCCTCATTAAGATTTACAACCTTCTGCTGCCGATCTGTTTAAAAAAAAATCTGTTTTTCCGTTAATCAGCTGTCGCCCCCATAGGAACGACAACTTTCAGAAGTTGAGCAACTTGTGCGTGCTAAGGACTAACGAGGTCTTACTTTTCAACGTGTGATTCCTAACACGGTTGCAGAATCATCCCAGCTTCAACCAGATAAATTCTCTTGAGAAAAATATCTGGTCGAGGCAGGAATCGAACCCACGGTCTTCCGATCGTGAGTCGGACGCACTACCACCGCGGCCAATTCCACGATGATAATAATGATAAAAATAATAATACATTTATTTTCCCAAAGATGATAAAACATATATGAATGAATGAATGAATGAAAGTTTATTGACTACCTTACATTACATAATGTTTGTAATGAGTCCAAATAATATCTAAAAAGAGAACAACACATAGAGAAACAAAAATAAGATAAAATAAAATTTTAAAATATAGTACACTACTACTAGCTATTGTAAAGTGTCGCAGTGGCGAGTGCATTCCATAGAAATACACTAGCGATGTCGAAAATGCTCCATGAAATCACTGACAGAATAAAAACAATTAGTTAGTAAAAATTCTTTTAAGCGCTTCTTGAATTTATTGTTTGATAGGATTTTGTATTCCTGCGGTAACAGGTTGTAAAGATTATAATTTAGAGAGTTTTTCTGTGATTTGGTTAAGCGAAAACGATCAGTACGAATATTGCCTGCAGCTCTGGTATAATGATTGTGAATATCGGATTGTTTGCGCAGACACATTCGATTTTTGTGGATCTCGAGCAGAACCGAGAAAATGAATAATGAAGGCAAAGGCAATATGCGCAATTGTGCAAAAAGGGGCTGGCAGTGATCACGAAAACTCACATTGGCAAGTATCCTGATTGCTTTTTTTTTGAAGTCGGAAAATATCTACAGCACTAGAGGCGTTCCCCCAGAGTATGTTTATGCCTAACAATTTCACACTGTTATCACTCGACATAGTGCCATACAAACAAAAGGTGAGATTCTTTGTTTTTTCATTATTCAGGTTTAGTTTATTTAATGAAAACCACGTTTCAGCACTAAAAAGTGAAATTTTTACAGACTGTTGCAAATCCGGCAAGGTGTCACCTGAAAAGATGAGCGTAGTATCGTCAGCAAATAAAACTGATTTATAGGGATCTACAAAATTAGGTAGATCATTGATGTAAATGATGAACAATAGTGGGCCGAGGACTGAGCCCTGAGGCACTCCATGTTTGATAGGTTTATAATTAGATGTACAGCTGTTATATGTGACAGCTTGTAAACGATTTGTTAAATATGAGGCAATGAGCGATAAAGCTACACCTCTTATTCCATAGAACTGCAGCTTATCCAGAAGAATAGAGTGGGAGATGCAATCAAACGCCTTAGATAGGTCACAGAGTCTGATAGCGGTTATCTTGCCCTCCTTAAGGCCCTCGATCACATTACATACCACCTTCAGAATAGCTTGCGACGTTGATCTCTCTCTTCTTATGATTTAAAGAATAAAAATTCAACCGATCTATAGGAAGCATTTTCGACTAAATATGTTCTCAAGTAACTTTTGAAAGTAGAAATATTGGCGGAACTATTTCTTTAGGCAGTTAATTAAAAATCAGGAGATTTCGAAGATATAACATATTTACAGTACAGGTAATGTGGAAATCAGCGCAATTCCTCGTATTATAACAATGAACTTGTTGGATTATAGTAAACTCATTTTTATTTTTGTATACGTATACACACATTTCTAAAATTAAAATACTTGTCATTGTTAAAATTTTTGATTCTTTTAAAATCGGTCTACAGGATGCTTTGCTTGAGGTATCGCAAATAATTTTCAAAATGCGTTTTTGTGCTATAAATACGTCTGGTGCTCGTGTGGAAACACCCCAGAAACATATGCCATATCGTAATCGGGAGGCTACTTGTGCATGATATATACGAATAATTGTTCACGTAACATAATGTTCTTAAGATTTCGCTACAATGTTCTTTCAAGTCAAAACCAGCGTCTATAGTGATTCCAAGAAATTTGACTGATAAAGTAGACCCAACCAAGATTTCATCATTTCACCAGTTTTTATTGTTACAGTTTCGCATTGTTTTTGGTAGTGTGTGGATCACACCATGAAATGAGGTTTTCAACAGCAGTTGTACACTTCTGTTTCAAGGTATTTTCACATTTGTCAAAGACAAATATATTGGTGTCATCTGCATATCTTATAAAGCTGGCAGAAGATTCGATATCATCCATGTCATTCGTGTAGAACAAAAATGAGAAATTGGCCCCAGAACAGAGCCTTGGGGAACGCCTTAGAGATATTTTGATATGCAGATTTAGTAGAAGATATACCAACAAACTGTTTTTTGTGGGTCGAGAAACTCCGTATCCAGTCGAGTGAAACTACGCGAATACCATATTTGTGCAGTTTAGACAAGAGTACCTCATGCTGGACGCAGTCAAATGCCCTGCTGAGATCACCACTTTCTATAATTAATTGAAGACAAAACTCAATTATGCTGCATCTGGTTCTGCTTTGGTTGCTATGAATACTTCTTCTTCTTCAGCTATGTGTGTTCTCTTTCTTTGTTTTCTACCTCTTCCTTGATAGCAATGTCTTTCTCTGTAATTACTTCTTCTTTTCTGGTTTTCATCACGCTCAATAGTCGATTCAGATTTCGCCTTGATTTCTTCACCCGTTGTCCAAACGAAGGGTTCGAACAACAGGTTTATCCTTTCGAATGCATTTTCCAACAATTTCTTCATGCATCACTGGATGATGATATATTTTGATTTTTGGCAATTCTTTAAGTTTCCTTTTGAGCTGAATCCATTGCTGACACTACCTACTTAGAAATTTCCAAAAGGCTGCTTAGTCCTTCCTTGTTTAGTATAACTTTGACTGTTGGAGAAATTCATTCCACTTCAACTTATGGAAATTCAAATATACTTGGAAATCCGGTTCTCTGTCTAAATATATTGGCTTTTGTCATACAGACTTTCTTCTAATTCACAGTTCCTCTGGGCTCATAAGCAGTTGGAATTCGGTGACTTCATGACAGCACATTTTATTTAATACAACTTCATCAGAAAATATCCCAAACAGGAATATTGCCCGTTTTTTGAAGAAAGAAGGCGTAAACGTAGCTTATAGAACGAATAATAACCTAAGTAAATTTATTAAAAACAATAAGGACAAAACTTTTGTGTCGGATAGATCAGGAGTATATAAGCTGACTTGTGGCTCTTGTCCAAAACTGTATATTGGTAGGCTCCGTAAAGCGTATTTATGCCTTGTCAGGTAATCAGTTGTATTGGTACCTGTATTTGTACCTGTAACTGTACCTGCACTTGTACCTGCACTTGTACTTGTACTTGAACCTGGAACATTAACCATCTCGCTGCCTGTTGTTATTCTGTTCGTTATTCTCGAATTCCTTCAAATGGGGTTCCATATTCGGTTGAGGTTCACCGTTTCTTCTTTTCTGTTGAAATTCTCAGTGTGTTTGTGGATCTCTATTGACTCCCGTACCAGTCGGCTATGGTATCCCTGGTTGGAGGCAATTAATTCTGTGTTTTCAAACAAAATTATGAGGTCTCCTTCACTAAGTGCGTGTTCTGCCACAGCTGACTTGTCCGCTTGGCCTAGTCTGCAGTTCCTTTTATGCTCTTTCAGTCTTGTTCCCATGGAGCTTTTGGTGGTTCCA